TACATCTGGAGATGACCAAGAACTAAATAAAGATTACTCTTTCATCTTGCTGATATAAAAGAAATAATGCAGGGCTGTTTAAATCTTGTACGTGTTAAAATACCAAAATAGCCTGGGTGTTTCCTAAATGTAAAACATAGAATCTTAATTGTGCCTTTTTAAACTTTTTAAAGGACAGATGTGTCCTAGGATACTTGCAAATCAGATATTGGCAATGTGCATTCTGTACGGAGGGTTGGCTGATGAAACTGTTCAAGCAAAAGAATCAAAATTATATGGTGAGTGAAAATCAGTAACAGAGTAGTTATCTTCCTATGAATATGATAATAAAAGTGGAAGCAGCAGTCTTTTTTTCCTGAAGACAGCTAAAAAACAATGTCCAACGAAATATAATTAAAATGGGTTTTGTTTGTAGTACTAGTCTACAGATATTGTAATTTTTATTTAATGCAATCTCTTCTTGAAAAGATCTGGCTTATGTAATGAATGACTTTTGCCTGGATAACACCACCTGATGACCACCAGACCCCTCACCAGAACTCCGTATTAATTCAGCGCATGCACCCAGTGCTGCAGTAAAGTACTGTCGGCTTTCTAACCTGTCATTAGGATTGATGAGTTTTATTCCTGCATTTCAGTGACACTGTCATCAAGTAATTGCAGAGACATAAATAAAGAATCAGGAAAAAATAATACATGCAACAGTCTTAAAAACAAAAGAGTATGTGAAAATGATAAACAGTATAGATTCTCATGGATTTGGGGATTTGTTCTAAAGGTACAGAGTTGATTTTCATAAGGGACCCCTTCCTCTGCTTGACATTCTTAAATTTCATTACATGAGACGAACTTCCGGGAAAGTCAGAGTAAAATTATTTAAGAACAAACAAATCCAGGTTGGCGAGAAACTAAGTTTGGTGTTCTGTATGCAGGGCTTTATTTCACTTTTTCTGAAAAAATTGTTTGTTGGGAGCATCTTTTTTACCTGTTCCTTATTTCTCATCATAAACTGTCATCTGTATATCTTAGGAAGGTATAAAATTTGCTGTGGTCTCTAGAATTGATTAGAGTTTCACCAGGAAAAGTCTTTTGCATGCTGGTATCTGGATAGTTGCTACACATTACATCTCTTTCTTAAATAAATGTTCATACCAAAAGCTGGGAAGAATCCTCAAACATAACAGTGCAGCTGTAAATGTAAAGCAACTGTTGCCTTGCTTTTGCAAGCAGTTATTTTGGACATTGGAATTGACTTAGTAATGGTAACTTGTTCTAAAGTGGCTGAAAACTCATCACACTCTAGATCCTGAATGTATTTAAGGACAGGAGGCTGATAATTCTTCTCTTATCACGTGTTGGTGATGCTGTTGCTGAAAAATAGGACATTAAAAGCCCTCAAAAGTTACCTAAAGGTTTCATTTATGTTGTCTATTTTGTCTGGGCCAACAGCATCTTTTGGGTGTTCCTGCATGAGATATTTTGACTCCACATTCTGTGCCTTTCAGAAGTGTGATTGACTGCATCCTCCCATGCATTCAACTTGTGCTCTCCTTATCAGTTTCTGCCAATCCTCTGAGACAAGTTGTTGCCCTCCTTTGGGCATCTTACTGTCACAGGTGCTGTTGAGCACTGATTTTCCGTAGAGAGATCCCCAGCTTGCCAAATCAGAGAGGGAAGTCGGGAGGGAAGTCATGTTCCAAGATGACATCCTGACTTTTTTGACTTATGGGGGAAGGTGCTGGATATCAAGCTCTATATATGCTTCCAATTACATGTGCAGATAAACCTCTAACAGTAACTGGAAAATCTCCTAAACCAGACTTCAGGTCTTACACAAATGTAATAATTGTAGAAGAAATATTGTATCTGTTATGTAGGACTTTTTATCAATCTAGAGTTAGGAGAATTTCAAAGAAAATTTATGTAAGGCAAGAGCTCACCAAACTTCATGCTTCAGTTTTAGACTCTGCACTCAGTGAAAGGAAACTTCAGGGTCACAGTTCAAATAACCTATCTGAGACATGTAATGTAGGATGAAATGACTTAAGAGCTAGAAGTATCTGTTCCTCTCCAATGAGTATAAAGAGAGCCAGATGACTACTTCATATTTCAGCATTATAGATAGCAAAATTCAGTCAAGATTAAGGATATCTATTGTCAACCTTGATGTTCTGAAAGAAGGGGAAATAATAATTACAAAGCAGCTTGCAAATACTTGTGGTTTCTTTGGCTGTAGAGGAAAAGAAGAGATGACCACAAACAATCAGAGAATTGTTAAGGTTAGAAAAGACCTCTAAGATCACCTAGTCCAACTGTCCACCTTCTACCAACATTTCCCACTAAACCATGTCCCTTGGTACAACATCTAAATGTTTCTTGAACACCTCCAGGAGCAGGTTTCCACTAGTTGCAAGAAATGGAAGTTGATGGTCTAGGCAGCTTTTTCAGGAGCCTTTTCAGGCCAGAGCTGTCACGTTTTAATAGACAAAAGGAGAGGGTATGCCTGTATGCTGCTAAATAAGAGTACCAACAAGCCAGTTTCAGCAATGGAGCCATGATTCTCCTGCTTAACTGTTGTCTTGCTGCTGGGCTATCTGTTTCCAACAGGCTCCAGACAGAAACAGCCTTAAGCACTGAGGCTTGGCTGAAAACTCACTCTAATTTAGCAGTGTGGATGCAGCCAGAGAGTCTAAATATGAAATAAAGTGATGCTACTAACAAATGGCATTGCATGTATCATCATTTCACCTGCATCGTGTGCTTGCAGTATCTTATTTGAACTTTTATGAAATAACTGTGTTGGTCTTCCAAGCAACCAGCAAGAAAGGACAGTGAACTACATATAAGCTTCAATAACAAAAGGAGTTGGATCAAGATCCGTCTTTTAATCCATATCATTCCTGCTGCTATGGAACATGGTAAAAGATCTCTGCTGTGATTCATGGAGATTTGAGCTGAACCTTTTTAAAATTGGGACTTTGGATGATAAAAGGAAATCCTTATATGATCGTAATCGAGATATTGTTTCTGTGCAAATGCCAGTTGAGTATTCAGCTTGTGTTTTCTCCTTTCATCTTTACACAGAGGTTGCTCACTTCTCATGTCCCTCTTTTTCCCATTTTGCTGCGCTAATGAGTTTTTAATGCAAAGGAAGAGTGATTATAAGCAGTGAAGCAAAGACAGCTTTATAGAATAAGACTGAGGAATTGAAGACATAGATCAGAGCTATCCACCAGCCTAAGATAAAAGAGAAGTTCGTGAAAACAGAGACATGTAGATAGCTTTGATTTCATTATCATCAGACAAGAAAGGACAAAAATTGGGATAGCTGTTCATACCTAGTTAGTTTCCTATATCAATAAAAGACTCTATGAAGAAAGCAGTAAGTTTATCACATAAATCAGGAAAATATCCTGTAGGAAAATGTTGGCTCATCTCTGTTTTTTATGTAACATGATTAGCAGATTGTAATCATTTAAAAAATACAGATGTTTTCTACTTTATTCATTGATGCCAAGTTTGTGTTTCATCACTAAGCATGGATTTTTTGTTTGGGCCTTTCTCCTTGTTTCTTTTTGAACACAAATTCTGAGGATTGTATTTCTGTTACTGATTCCATAGTTATCAATTCTTGAACTGCAGATAAATTAAATAGTTTTGCTGGTTTTTATAGGAAGCTTTTCTTTGGAAGCTACATGTACATAGTTGTAATACTCAATACAAAATACCTGATTACATTTGAAAAGTTATGACTAGATGAAGAATTATTGTGTTTAGTATTTTTTGTTGATTGCCTCTAGAAAGTTGATATAGAATTATTAGCAGTTAGGAGTGGGGAGGAGTGCTGAATATTCTTGTTCTGAAAAATAACAAAATTGTTCCTTCAAGGGACAATCCTAAAATTTCATCTAATTTTTGTTCCTATTTTTTTTTTTTTTTTTTTTCACTAAGCACAAATTAAGTAAAACAATAGAGCAGAACTATTTTCCAGGAAATATCCTATCATCATAAAAGCTATAAAACAGTATGATTAGTGAACAGTATCTTGTACTTTTCGGCTCATGGGTATTTTCTTGCAAAATCAAAAAATAGCTGTAGCTAACTTTGAAATTCCTTTGAGATCTTAAGCACAGAAGTCCTTCCAGTACCATGCACTTTACTTATAATGTAGCCAACTTTGTAGCTTTCTCAAATGCAGCTTTCTGCCCATTTAAGAGATTAGGAAACTAGGAAAGGCATGTTAAGTGTGTTGCCTAGAGGGACAGGAAAAATCCGTGTCAGATGGGAACAAGATTTCAGAGTACTGCTTAGATCAGTGTCATGTCTTCAGCTGATGGATTTCTTGTCCATCACAATCCATTTTGGTGCTCCAAGTTTTGGAGTTTAATTTATTTTGACACTGAAACACAGCATAAGAATTGCATTAACATTCTTTGTCTTTTTGCTCTTCAACTGTCTGGTGCAAAGGTACTCTGTCATGTTCTTGCCCTGGGTTAATATAGTAAACAAGATGTATTTCAGCATGTGTATCAGTTAGATTTTTACATAAGTGCTATGAATTTCCTCTCTGATTTTGTATTGCAAAGTAAATTGGAGATCAGAGGGCAATGAATAATTAATCTTTCTTCAATTTGTGAGAAAAATTTTAAGAAGTCTTCTGTTTTTTACATAGAACTATTACCTCAGAAAATATTTAACCATTTGCACAAAGCCCACGAATATACTGTATCAGATATTACTCATATTATGTAAATGCTTTAGTTATCCACTATCATAGTGCTTTACATAGTAACTTGTACTGTTTTCAAGTTTTTAGGCTTGATTACACTGCCATTCAAAGCAGAGGGGAGCCAAGTAGTATATAATTTAGATACTTTAACCTCTGTGTTGAAAAGTATGCTTCAGTATACTGATTGTGCTGGAATATCTGTACAGTGTCCCTTACAAATTAACTAACTTCTTTGTGTATTTAAGCAATTTTCTGATTTTATTTTCTTTAGGTCAACGGAACAGAAATTGAATATGAGTTTGAAGAGATTACATTGGAAAGGGTAAGCGTAACTTATTCTTCTCTTACAAGAAAAAAGTAATCTATAATAAAAATAACAGTTGTTAATTAAATCAAGTGTTTAAGAATACAATCATTTACATTTTGAATAAAGATGTTCAAGTCCAAAGTATGAAAATGTGAATGATACAACAGGATAAGCCTCTCATGTTTTTAAGATATTTCAGGTGTAGCTACTTGCAGAGCAGTATCCCGAATGCTTTTCTGGATTCTCAGTTAGGTTTTAGATCATTGGGAAGAGACTATGTGGTATGGAAACTCCCTTTTAGTTTGTGACCTGAAATTGTAGAAGCCTCTCTCTTTTAATCTCCTCAATTTCCTTTCATGCTAATAGAAGACACTACGTCTTACTTTCTAAGATAAAAATTGCAAAAGTGTTTTTAAAGTTCCATCTTTATGCAAGCCTGGATTGTGTGAAGTATAAACAGAGCATACAGCAAAGGCTTTGTTCATAGCGTTTTTTAAATGTAGCACAAAATGAATACATTTAAATGTCGCATTGCATCATATCTTCCTAGATTTGGTGTTTTCTCCTTGTCTTTTGTTACATGACTGTTTCCTTTACACTATGAACTTTCTTTGTCACAAAACCAGGACCAGATGAGCAGCATATTGTGTGAGCAAGACAGTCTAAGCTTTGTCATGTATCATAGTACTTACAGGGATTGCTAATGGATGCAAAACTGTCATTGCCGAATGCCTTCGGTATTCTACCAACATGCTGGTAATAGGAAGATTTATAATCTTGAAGCAAACACAGGATTCCTTCTGTGTAAAATGTTTGAATACAAGGTCAGTTATCAAGATGTGACTGCTGCCATATGAGCAAATGCCTCTAAGGTAGCAAACTACCATTAAATTAGATGCTTGGATTATGCAATTCATTGCACTTTTTCTGCATGTTATATTTTTAATTGTCCAAGATAATGAATTTCATAACTATTCGATTTATAGGGATTGAGGATTATATTCTCATTGATTTGCTCACTCAGGCAAATTACAAAAGAGCAATATATCTCTTTGCTACAGCCATCCTCATAACAGATAACGTATAAGGTTATGGGCACTTTTTATCTACTGTCTCTGAAGTCATTCATGCATCACTAGTTATTCATTGGGCTAGAGTTTCCAAAGGTCACTGAGCAGAACACATGCCTCCTGGGTGATACTTTGAAAACTGCTTTATTTTTAATAAATATGTTAGTTATCACTGGAAATACTGACAAACCAATGTGATTTGCCCCTGCCGTACCTTTCTTATGCAGGTAATTTGTTATTCATCGTATGATCTCATTTATCAGTTAAATACTGATAAGCAATAGAAAACAAAACTGCAGATTTTAATGGAGGACATTTCAGTTGTTTTCTGGACGCAGTTGAATCTGTGCTTTCTGATTATTCCTGCTTGAAATGTTCTGTCACATATATCAGTGTTTTGTCTCAAAGGCAGGGTACTGTGTCTGCTGCTTTTTATATGAGGTATAAAACACAAGTGATTGCCTTTAAGTAGCTGTCATTTACGTTAGACGAACAGCGCTTTCAAAAGAAAGGCATTCTCCATGTTGATTACACATTTTCTTCCAGAAAAATTCTTTTATAAATTAGATGGAAAATCATCTCTCTGTATTTAATAGCAAAGCTGCAAAATGTATTAAAGTTGCGGCTGTTGAGAAATAAAAATGTAGTTTGCCTGTATAAAAAAGTTGGTAATAAACCTTCCATTTTAGTCCAGTTATCTGAGTTAAAGAACTCTGCATCCCAAAAGTCATCAGACACTTTCTTCACTTTTATCCACATTTTGAAATAATCAACATAATTGAAAGGATTTTGCAGTGTTAAAGATAAATTGATTTATGATGTGTTGTGACTTTTGCAAGGCAGGGCAGTGATATCCACATATCATAGGAATCTGTGGGATGTATTCCTGAAAAGAGTTAGTGGCTTAGATGTGATTCTCTCTCCAGGATGGCTCCATCTCTTGGGGTAACATGGAACAATTGCGTTAATTTTGGCAGAATGTGTCCCATATGGAGCTGGGGAGGAGCAGAGGGGTCTGAGAAATACTCAAAAATTGCTTAGGGGCCAGGGAAGAAGTCATTGCAACCTTGCCGGGCATCATCAAGCTGCCTGAGATCCAGCTGGGTTACCAAGGGATTACTTCATGAAAGCAGTCGGTCTTTGTAGAAAGCTTGTTTTATTTTTGCTCTCTTTGATATCTTGTTGTTCAGTTGTTTCTATTTAAAATGTTGTGTCCTAGTTTATAGTTTAAAAGACTTGGGGTTTTGAGCTTAAAAGGCTTTATTGAGAGCTCAAAAAGAGGATGAAGCTGGGGCAGATTGAACCTGCAGTTGTGGTCAGTGGTGTCCCAGGAGTTGCAGAAGCTGTAACTGTAACTGTACCTCTGCCAGCCCATCACTGGCGTGCTTTTATCCTTTTACTCTTCCGCTGTATCAACCAGTCGTCAGGTATTCTTACTGATCCATGAACCCATGAGGGTCATTTTAAAATATGAGTTCATTTAGAGCTCTCATAGAGGTCTACTTAGGTAAAACAAATACACAGTTAAAAGAATTCTAACAAATTTTCTTTAAGAAAAAAAAAAAAAGAGAAGATTTTATTTCCTTCAATTACTTCAGAGAATGTGTGAGTTTCTCTGCCAACTTGCAGGCATTAAATGCAGATCCAGGTGTAGATGAAGACTTGGTAGTTTGTAGTGGGTTACAATGCCCAAGTGCACACTTAGAAAAGATACCTTGCAATAAGACATTACTTTGTATTGAATATTAAAGACACTGTAAAAAGGAAATTCTACATAAAATGACTTGTATTCATGTGGTGATGTTAGTTTTCATTATTTTGGGGCTTGAAAAACGTATCCAGGTCAATCAAGAGACTGATTTGCACTTGTAAATAAATCAGTGTCAGGGTAAGGGATAACTGAATAGAATCTGTGACAAGCCAGCTAACTTCTCTGAGCAAGAGGACAGTTTTAATTGATTGACTCCTGGATAGAGCTCTGTGCTCTGAGGCACAGGCTGAAAAGAGGGTTTTCTTAGAAGTTAATAGAATATCAGCCAATATTGATAGCTAGCTCAAAGAAGAGTGAAGAAGTGATTCTCCCACTGTATTTGGCAGTGATGTGGCCTCACCCTTGAATACTGAATGCAGTTCTTGGCTCCACGACATAAAAGCACCCAGTACTTAAGAGAATCCATTGGGGGTCAATAAAACTGGTAAAAGAGCAGGAGTGGGAGGGTGAGAGGAGAGGTTGAGAACACCTGGGACACTTGAGTCTGGAGATGAGGAAGCTAAGAGATCATAAGAGATCACCTCAGTGCTCCCTACAACTTCCTGAGGAGGGAAAACAGGGGGAGATGCTGGCCTCTTCTCTGATGACAAAGCACAAGGGAATGGCACAGAGCTGTACAAGCCAAGGTTCAGATTGAACATTAAGAAACATTTAGGGTTGTCAGACACTGGAGGCTTTCTAGTGAGGTAGTTGATGCCCCAAGCCTATCAGCATTCAAGACACATTTGGATAATGCCCTTAATAATGCATTTTAACTTTTGGTTAGCTTTGAACAAGTCAGGCAGTTGGACTAGATATAGTTGTAGATCCCTTCCACCTGAACCATTCCATTCCATTCTACTCTAGTAAGAGTAAGAAAGACAGTGAGTTGCTTGTAGACTTACGTGGTTTTCATGTCAAGGTCAATGTCTGAGTTCAGATCTCAATACTTTTTGATCATCTATCTTTAGATGCTAAAGGAAAAAGTAAGCATTTGTGATTACTAAAGCTATTTTCACATAATTATTTGATGTTTCAGCCTTTATTTTTATTCTGTATCTACATACAAATAAGAATATATAAGCTGTTGTGGGGTAGACTGTTTTGAAAATCTGTTTCAGACCTAGTTTTTTATTTGATTGGCCCCTTCTTACCCTAACACAAAATTCATACTGTGCTACTAACTGTGCTGTTTTCATCAGTCATTTCCTTTGTAAAAATATAACTGGCAAAGCATAAAGAGGTACCTTTTACTTAATGCTAAAGGGAACTGAGAACTGGATTGTCTTAAATAATGCAAGGATTTAATTTGACTCCATGTCTTATTTTTATATCTCTTTGTCTTGTTTTGTCTGAGATCACTATTTGTATGTTTGGGAAATCAAGTTTTCACTATTACTCAGTAGTGTATTTTACTCCTTCATTTTAAGTTTTTAGATATTGATTGTACCTGCAGCATCATGCTTTGACCTCTCAAGAAGGAGATTATAAGACAATGTAGTGCCAGGAAAGGCCTCCTTTATTTAGTTCAAAAGCAACAGAGTGGAAGGAAGTGTCAAGAAATGGTCCCTAGGAAAAGATGTTTGCGAAGTTTAAAGTGTATATCAAATAAGCATTTGATTTGAGATCTTAGAGAGCATGAATCAATATTCAACCCTCAGCAGCCTCAGTGGAATGGTCTGACAACTTCCAACAGGAGAAAGTAAATCTTTCAAAATGTGTGTCCCTCAGGTGCCTGCAGAGCTCTTTCAAAAAGTGTTGCTCTCTTAATCCTTATTTCTGCAGAACTGTAGATGTTTTCTTAACATGTTAAGAGCTTTCTGAGTGCCCTAATTACATTTTTTTCTTTGCTAACACCTTTTTCTTTCCTTGCTCAGAATAAATGTTAGTTATTTTTTGCAGCACTGAGAATAAAATAAATTGTAATTCAAAAGCAATTTTTTTCTTATTGTCCAGTTTATATCAGAGTTATAGTAGAGCAGTGATCTAAGAGTATTTAATGCAATCAAGCTCTCTCTCAGGAATTTTTGCTTCTACAAGAAGAGCATGCACCTATGAAGCTGTATCATCAAACACAGAAATAGTTTCCTCCTCTCTAAAACAAAATGTTCCAGAAAATGAAAAAAAAAAAAAAAAATCAGAAAGATGCTTGAAAATAAATGTTTAGTGCACACGCTGTGTGGGAAATTCTCTTA